ACAGAAATCTGTGCATCACTTTCGGTGATACCTAAGCCTTAATGGTGCCTAAACGTGCGATTTGCACCCCTTCACCTATGAGATGACAGACACTGATTAGTTGATTTACCGGTAATTCATGACAATTGACAGCGTAAGCTTACCAATAAAATGAGCAATCCTTGATGCATGCCTCTATTAACTGGCAACGATTCCTTCAAAGGATGACATCAGAACTTCAACCATATCATTAACATTGGTTATTACGCCAAAACTTGTTATGTATGATATTGATTGAATGATTTATAGCATTGTCACGTTTACTTTTTCTGCTCACGCTGCGAGCATGGAAGTCCCGAAGCTCACAAGCTAACTATTCACAAATTTGCAACTATTCTTTATAATAACAAAACAATTAAACAATTAATATAGTAAACATTCTTATTATATAATAATTTTATCATGTATTATTTGATTTTTTTATTATATTATTTAGTATTATTATTTTTAAATAGGATTTTATACCTTTACGAATAAAGATTCCAATCAAAACATGGGAGCAAATGGCGGCTATCTTGAACATAACAATTGCCGTTCACCCTGTTGCATCATAGGGTTGCATGTAGGGTCCCTACTGAAGTAAGTTTTTGTGCGGTTACGTTTGATTTTATTCCGATGCCTTAGCAATGTTATAAATTGCTAAATTTATTGAGGGCCTTGTTGTGCTCTTGAGTCGGTGGATACTTTCTTATCTTGCTGGAATGTGAGCTCGCCAACAAAGCATAGGTACCCATTATGTACATAACACACTGTCACGTGACAACTGACACTGCTCGCCACGAAGCGTTCGCTCGGACGTTGTTCCAAGGTACTACATACATTATACATATTATACAGATAAACACACGGGCCGTGCGTGCCATTAAGGTGTAAATGCAGCGCGGCGCGAGGTATATCTTTAGACTCCGTGCGCACTGCCCACGATCGCCGCTTGCGGCGAGGTGCGGCCGTGCGCACCAGTCTAAAGCCACAGGCCACTTGCGACCGCTTTCAATAATAAAATGATCGGTTACATAAATACAACTTGTCAAGTAGCCTACTACTACAGTACCAGCAATAGGTCTTAAGTGTTTGATTTGACACTAATAACTTCACTCAAACACCGTAAATACACCGCTGCCCCAACACATAGCCCGCACGCCCATTGTGCATGCACAGATACACAGTAGATAGAGTAGTGACACCCTCCTAATCTACTGTGCTCCTATCCTATTTACAGATCCTCCTTATCTACTCCTTCCTATCTAGTCCTCTATCATCCTCCTAATCTTACTAGCTCCTCCTATCTCCTATCTACTCCTCCCTCCTTATCTACTTGTAATCTTGCTATTGCCACAATGGCGTGCGGGCTATGTGTCTGCAGCGGCTGTATATTAACGCGTGTTTGAATGAAGTATTAGGTCAATATCAAACATTAAGACCTATTGCTGGTACTGTAGTAGTAGGCTACTGACAAGTTGTATATTTATTAACCTTCATTTTATTATTGAAACGCCGTCCAAGTGCCTGTGGTCTAAAGATACTGTCGCAAGCCCGCGCTGCATTTACATGAATCGCACAACAGGCCAAGTGCGTTATCTGTTTATTATAAAATTGCGACATACAATGAATTGAAAATAAATGTAAGTCTAGATCACAGAAAATTATTTCATATTCCCGAACGCTCCAAAACAATACACATTTCAGTCTTTAGAATAACAATGTCTATTTTTTTTTTTGCATAAACAGTCTGATCAAATAGCTATAGTCTAGAAAATAAATAGGCCTAGTAAGGCTAAATCTCGAAAATTTATTCCAGTCCCGAAAGTCAAAAACAAACATTTACAGTTGATTAAATTGCGACACACACTATAAGTCTAGATAAACAGTCTAGATAAATAGTCTAGAAAATCAATAGTAAATCTCAATTCTCGAAAATTTCAGTTGATGGCTTAATTATTGTAAATGTTAACATAATCGCGAGTGTGCCAATATAACTTTTTTGCGCGCTTTTTTGCACGGTTTGGCGTCTGATTATAACAATAACAACGGCGTGTCACGTGACGCGTTTTGACCAATCATGATGCATAAAATATCCGAGCCATTTTATAAAATATATATGTACCCGAGGTAGTTTTAGGTTGTTTAGTATTATGTTTATATTTTATATGAGGTATGTGTAGGGTTACCGTTAGGGTACACTTCTTTACTGTAGTACAAGTCTGGTACACTTTGTGTATACATATATGTAGTACCTGATACGACAACGACCCCTTCAGCGACACTGTGTGTGTGTGACCTAGATACAATATGTCAATAATGTAACCCAACAAGATTAGGTGTGACCGACTGACCGTGCGCAGTGACAGTGTGGCTCATAGGGTCTATGTCCCCCAGGGTACTGCCGGAACGTACCCTGCGGTACCGGTCCCGCGTATAACCGGAACGTACCCTGCGTCAGCTATTTAGATATGGTTAGGGTTCGGTTAGGGTTAGGGAGTAGGCATAGGCCGACTCCTAGACTCGTTAGTGGAGTAGCGCGAGGGTATGGTCCGGCATATAAGTATAGTATCCAGGGTACGTTCCGTTACCAGACCGTACCCAGGGTACGTTATGGCAGTACCCCGGGGGACATATAGACCCTCTCGTGCAGCGACAGTGTGTCTGTGTGTGAACTGAACACGATTCCTGGGTTTGTTTTGTATTTCTGAATTCTGTGACAGTCAATTGGTATTGAATATTTTGGTATCATCTGCAAACTTTAATATATGGCTTGTGACATTTTCGTCTATATCATTGATGTAGATGAAGAACAGTACTGGGCCCAGAACTGAACCTTGAGGGAGCCAACTTGTTACCCGTGACCCATCTGAAAATTTCCTATTTAAGACCACTCGCTGCTTCCTATTTGTGAGCCATGACTCTATCCATCTACTGACCTGTACCGTGATACCATGTGCTTGCAGTTTGTCGACAAGTCGTTTGTGTGACCAGTACCTTATTGAAGGCTTTAGAAAAGTCCATGATGTATATTGCATCCACAGGGTCTCTGTGGTCTACATACTTCGTCACTAGTTCGAGGAACTCCAGTAAATTCGTTTGGCATGACCTACCACTCGTGAACCCATGCTGAGAGTCTTTAATTAGCTTGTGATGATTCAGATGGTCTACTATGGCTGCCCTGATGTGACTTTCTAACACTTTACATATTATAGAGGTTAGACTAACTGGTCTATAATTGCTGGCTAAGCTGCGCTTTCCTTTCTTAAAGATTGGAGTCACATTCTCGCATTTCTCCAGTCGTCAGGTACCACACCATCATTCATGGAGCTTTCAAAGATTTTTGAGATTGGAGTTGCAGCTTCTTTCGCTACTTCTCTAATGACATTTGGCACTATGGACAGTTGTGCCTGTAACCAGCGACTCGTACAGTCGTAGTGTGTGCTGTACCTGCTAACGCTAATGAACACACTGACACTGTGATAGCTGGTGGATAATGCATTAATCGATTCCAAAATATCCCTATGACTATGACTTATGTTATGGAAAGATTTATTTATATAAATTCCTCGTGGTTCATATACACCTAGCTCTAGTACTATATAGCTCGCATACAGTTGCCGCAGGGCTATAGAACATTCTATTACGAATGCTAGGGACCAACTTATTCACGGTTACTCACGGCTATAAAACGTCTGTGGTAGGCAATTAATGCCTCTTATCCGAAGTGAATATGTCTCAAGTCATATCAGCTACTAAAATTTAACCTCTAACTATCGTTGAAATGGTCTGCTTGCGGTATTTCTTGTGAACGAACATTCGATTTACGAACTTCAAACAGCCATTTTTGGTGGCGCTGCAGCAGCGCCAGTCAGCGGGTTGGTCCCTAGCATTCGTAATAGAATGTTCTACAGCCCTGCAGCAACTGTAAGCAAGCTATAGTACTAGAGCTAATATACACCCTGCACGCCTTGCAGGGCTCGAATTAAGCGACGAGAAGGGCAAGGCAATTTTTTTAGGGCATGTGAGAAATCGCCTTGAATTTTCTCTAAAATAGAAAGGCACCAAGGCAACTCTCAAAATTTGAGAAGGGCACCAAGGCACTTTTGTAAAATAAAGGGAAACTCATAACAAATTAGTACATCAACATCGTCTTGCTTTTAATGTACAAAACAATATGCCCCCATATGTAAGCTTACACCGTAACACTGACCCCTGTACCCACCTCTGCTAATGGAAGTACAGTAACAAGAAATTTTACATGCCCGCTATCAGGAGCAAATAATTATCCGATGCTGTTATTATTCCCTCCTGCGACTATCAGTTTTTAGCTCATCATTGCAACTACAGCACGCACGCGCACGTGTTATGTTGATTCGACTAAAAACAAAACTAGGGCAGTAGATTAAAGGGCACCGACAGCAATTACACAAAAGGGCAAGGCAGGTGACTGCCGTCGGTCGGGTTGGATTTTCAGGGGCAGTACGGCGATTGATAGGGGCACCGACGGCAATTGCCGTCGGTGCCGTCGGTTAATTCGAGCCCTGACGCCTTGTGTATCTCAAAGTCTTGAACATACATCTAGCTATTTGTATCGTAGATTGATGCACTGATTTACTTCACATCAGCTCACAAAATGATGGGAAACCATGAATTTTTCTGTTACACAGATGTCTGCATCATTTTCCATCGTTCATATATTACATAAATAGAATGTGTATTTGTATTCAAAGTGATGCAATGATTTACATGTGCAAATGAGGAAACATAACTGTTTCATTCTGTCACATATGCAGTTCAGAATCTGAATGATTACGGTGCAAGACCATTACGGTACTAAAACACCTGAGTTGTCTGAATCGTTTCAAGATACATAAAGTGTGTAAGGTATATTCGCACCAATTTAGCATTTATGTCTTGTAGTCTATTGTAAATTGATCAGAATTAAGTACTCATGGCAGTATTTCTTATCTACACTACAGGCAAAGTACACATAGGCTACCCTGCTCATCTAAATCAAGCTGTTGCCGACCCAGAAGTATACAGATTTCGAGAGAATGATCTCACAGGGATCATACCGGTATTCGTTAATACGATTAATTCCAAGGCAGCTGAGACCGACGACGTTAACGTGACGTGCATTTTGATCCCGGACTCTGCCGTAGGTTATGCGTTAGTTAGATTCGGAGGCGTTGTAGTGAGTGGCAGTGTAGGGCATGGAGAAGTTCCACTGGACATCCTGGGACCTGGACGAGAAGTAGCGGTGACATGCAGCGGAGAGTCCTCCGTGTACAACCTTACATCAGGTCGACAGTTTGAATACAACACCTCCACAAGTTCGGCCAGGTAATGGCTAAGCTGTTAAACAAATCTTAGATGATACACAGTGCAATGCATGAATTGAGTTAATATAGTAACTTATAATCTAGAGTGCATGAGCTGTAAAGTAATTACACTTGCAGTTAATGTACAACATCTCCCAGTTCATGGTATGAGATGGTATGAGATGGTATTAACTTTTGAACACGGGAGTCCAACGGACTCCCTACTCTCAAAAAGAGGGAGTCCGCAGAAAAATTAGGGAGTCTGCAGTCTGAGGTTCAAAATTAAAGATATTAACAATAACGCATGTGCTTATTTTTAAGATTCAGGAGGTTGCACGTCTGCCAAATTTTCTTTGGGCATTAGCTAAAAAAAACAACGCTAATTTCGCGAGGCCATGCTTTGGAACGAACTAGTTAGTATGGCAGAATTTTCAGGGAGTCACGGACTCCTGCATATTATGTCAAATCAGGTAGTCCGACAATAAATCAGGGAGTATTTGACTCTGGACTCCCGTTAATTTCGCACCCTGTTTTACCGTGTCAGGGAACTTGTGGTATCCGGAGCAGCTACCGTACAAATCTGCGGAGAGGTCGTTCTCGTCCCACCAGTTGTCGGAAAGTTTGACACTTTCAGATTGAGCTTCTCAGATGTGCTAGAGAGTTCAGTGAAGATATTCTGCTCAGCTGTTCAAGACCAGGGTGGTAGGTTACTTGTGCATGCAGTCCAGTAAAATTATGTAATATTTTAACAAGAAGTGAGCACAGCAGATTACAAAGTTCTGTTTAATTAAAAGTTTTGCCTAGAGTTAAGTCTACCTAGATATGAGGGGACATTTTATTAACCATATATAATATATAATAGTAAATAAAATACAAGCTTCTTTAGAGCTGTACAATTATGTGAGGCACCTGTCTCTTTTCAGGATCCAATATGGAGTTGGAGTTCACCAGCCCTGAAGTAGCATCTGGAGTACACGAGGCATCTATCAGTTATAGGTTGCTGTCACCAGGGGTCTCCACTTACGTTATCTGTGTGGGCCAGTCAGTCAGTGGTGACCAGTACTTGAACAGTACATCTGGGCGAGAAGCAGTGAGCTTTGTGCTTGATGTTGGTGATATCGCAATCATTCCTAGCCTAGCCACAGTGAGAACAACATCTTTTGACGTAAGTAACACAGCAACCTTCTTATACGTTTACACTTTAAAAAAAGATCAAATTCTCATTTTCCTACTCACGAATGATTGTCGGCTGAACGTGAAGGCTGTGCTCGTGATCGTAAACCTGCCTGAGATAACACTGTGTAGGTTGTCACACGTTACACGAATGCTACCTTGCTTCTCGGATCTTGCCGTGTCACTGAAAGTGATGACATCACCGTGAATAGTAAAAGTAAACAAAAAAATTATGTCCACTTTTTCACAAAATGTAAATGATTTTGTTCACTTTTTATGGTTTAAAAATTGCTGCATTGTACTTCCTATTTTGTTATTCCGTTCAATGTGAACAAACACTCGTGACTCGTACATAGCCCATAGCAAGCATTTAATGTCGTGATCATTATATCAAATTGCCCAGATTTTTGGATTTTTAACTAGTTGAGAAACAATCTTATCAGGTAAGAATTTGACGATACATTTAGTCTCGTTAGTACTTACTTTTAATGTAAAAAAAATTGGAATAAAATTTTTACAAATATACACCATAGAAAATTTGTGATGTAGTCAAATGAAGTCGGCGTGCGTTGTTCTCAGGCGTTCCTCATCCTGGACGCACCCGTCGCGGACGATGGACCGGGTGACGTGACGTTCCAGTGCAGGGTCGAGCAGATGGACGATGCACACGAAGCTATCGCCGCCAGAGATAGCGCACGCTGTCAGCTTCCCTCCTCCGCTCCAGCTGCAGTCGCCTCACGAGCAGGTAGTGGGGAGAGAACTGCTGCGATCGTGTCAGTTCGTGACACTGGTGACACTTGTTGACACTTGTTGTGACACTTGTTAACAGATTCTTTGTAAGGACTCGCAGTGGTTGCATTTCTCGCCAAACTTGTTTGCAGACGATCACTTGTTTGTCGAGTCGGGGCAGAGTTGCCGAATTCTAAATCGTCGGCTGAGTCCGGCAACTTTATGCTGCTTGTGGCAACCAGTGTGAACGTCTGTTGCGCCTACAATAACGAGATAGGTTAAGCTTGTGTTAATTTCTGTGAAATTTTGAGCGTTTTTAAATTAATGTGTGTGACCGAGCCTAGGTGAAAGAGGTTATTGTAGTGACGTGCCACCCACGTTGTGTGATGGTATCGATTGTATTCGGTTTCGAATGATGCACCTGGAGAACGTAATCGATATTAGCATTTGTCATTATCATTTGTCATTTTATCAGATGACGCAGGTGAAGTAATGACAGAAGGTCTTCCTGAAGCACCAACGTCAACAGCAGCTGACCACAACATCGAGAAACGACAAGTTACTGCAAGTACAAGTACAAGTACAAGTGTTCCTGTTACAGCAACAACAGGCACAGTAACATTAGGTGCAGCCGAAGGCCTTACTAATGAACCCAACGTCGAGCCCTCTAGCACTGAAGTTACGGGTGTGACCTTAGGGGAAATTGGTACAACGAGCGAGCCACAGGGGCAATTAGACTCATCTGTTGAAATAGCGTTAACCGATGAATCAGAAACGGTGACAGGAGGTGACGACATCAGTGGAATAGATAAAACTCCGATTCAACAGTCTAATGTAACCAGTGCAAGCACTGCAAATGTCACAACTACAGAACAGCCCAATGTAGCCACTACAAGCACAGCAAGTGACAGCATGACACAGAAAACAAATTTGACCAGTCCAAGCCCAGCAAATGGCACAACTACAGAACAGCCCAATGTAACCACTACAAGCACAGCAAATGACAGCACGACACAGGAAACTAACGTGACCAGTCTAAGTACAGCAAACGACACAACCATGGAGGAAGCCAACGCGTCTGTTGCAAGCACAGGGACTGACAACACTACACTGTCACACGTTGCTGTGAACGGCCCAACCTCCATCGCACTGCAGCCAGATACTGACATGCCAGTGGAACCATGGGAGCTAGAAAGGGAGACCCTTGTACTGACGGTAATTACTATGGAAGTGTTCACGTGAAGTTGCGGGCAGAGTTTCTCTTGCTGCTTGTCATTCTTTGTCAATCATGCTTTGATCTTGTTATGCTTTGGTTTTCTGTGTTTTGGTTTATCCAACACTTCTCTGGCTGTATTATCGAGACGAAAGTGAACGTTATTTGTGCGTCAAGAAAATTTTAATTTTATCTCATCACTGATTGCATGCATGCATCCTTGAATAATTGATCTGCGGTATATATCCATTATATCCTCTAATATTTTTGCGAGAAACGTTTTCCCACCGGAATCTCTTCAGTGAATTGACACCATAGAAATAATATAGGTAGGTGTCTCTATGTAATTCTATGATTGAAACAGAACTTAGTGGGAGCTGATGGCACTAGTTCCCGGGTCATTGTTCAGTAGTCATAATCCTGTTTCACTTACAGGAAGGCGATTTGTTTCGGAAGCTGGCATTGAGGCGCAGTTCGTACCCCGCGCTGCCGGTCATTGAGTACCTACTGGTCACCTGCTGCGCCACACCGGACACCAACCAGAACCCCAAGTATACGAACAGGTCGGCAGCGGCGTTCGTCGTCGCTGATCTGCAGAGCGCCGTCGTCGTGAACTGGACGAGCGCCGCGGGTGAGGAGTTTTGGGCGTGGATCGTGGCGTGTGTCCCGTGACATCGACGGTGGAGAAGAGAGTGTGATGTCGAGCGAATGTGATCGTGGACGACTCTAGTGCAGTGATATTCCGCGTCTTGTTTTTGCGTGCACTGCTTCACGTTCATATATCTGTGTGTGCGTGCGTGCGTGCGTGTGTGTGTGTATGTGTACGAGCATGTGTGCGAGCGTGTGTGTATATCAGGAGTGATCAAATACAAACATTTGTTTTATTGGCTCCTGATGCAGTATGTGTGTATATATATATATATATATATATATATACTTACATATATATACATTTATGTACGCGTATGTAGTTACACTAGGTAAGCTGGATTACGTGCGCGTGTGACTGACGTGGCTTCCTCGTCCACAGACGTGCTCGACGAGGATCGAGAGACGGAGATGGAGAAGGCTGAGTACGTGGAGGTGGCACCGTGTGTGTGTGACCTCAGTGCCGGACACTGCGACACCAACTGCTGCTGCGATACGGTAGGTAACACCACAGGCACTTGGAACGTCTCAATAAAAAAAAATTTATGGTCAATAAACACTAAATGTATTTACTATACTTGTTGTTTGGGCACAGCGGCGTGCGTGCGCTGTACTTGTGTGTTGCAGAGGAGCATTTGAACGGCATTTACAGGAAGTCATCGGCAGTAATAGGCGAAAGAGACTTAGAGAAACATTAAGACTGGTAGTAAATACATTTCGTGTTGATTTACCATAATTTTTTTTAGCTCATCTGACGTAGTCAGGTGCAGCTTGTAGAATCGCATGATCGTCCGTCCGTCCGTCCGTCCGT